GAAACAAACTATGATGTGAAGGCTCCAGGACTGGAGACACCCAGGATCACTGAAGCACCGCAGCAGCTCAGAAATAGACTAGTATCTTTTACATGCTGTCCACCAGTAAGAATTAGGAACAGGAGTGGGGTACCATAAGCCCGTATCCACTAAACCAAGCTTTAAAAAAGTGCCTCTGGCAGAGCAGCAGCAGAGGATGACATAAGTTAAGGGGGGTTGTCATAGCACGAGTTTATGACAGATTGAAAAAAACCCATCTCTTAAAAAACCTCATAATTTTCTTTATTACCCAGTCAACCACTCCACACCTTTGCTTTGACAAACTACCAGGAACTCAACTTCTCTGTAACAGCAATTGTCACAATTAATGTTCATTCTCTCCATCTCATTTACTTTTCACATGACCTTTATAACTTATTGCTGTTTTCCCCCTTCCCGTCCCCTCTTCGGCTCCTCACAGATCTTTGAGAAACCAGAGCCCTGCTGTTATGAGCTGCTTCTCGTAACATAAAGGAGACAGTGTCACTTTTTTTTTTTTTTTAAATTATGATCAAAATAAAGAAAAACAGAAAGATTTAGACATGTTTTAGACAGTAACAAGCTTCAGGATAAAATCTGCTAGCACTATGGCAATGGTACAGAGAGAATAGCAAAGCATTGCTGTCTGGCTTCATACCTGGAACTGAACTCAATACGAGTTGCTGCAGATACCCAGCAGTATCTTGGGGAATATGGGACAACTATTAAGTTGTATACAGTACAAAAACACTTTCTACCACTGTCACTATCTTTAAATTCAAAATATTCTCCGTGTCTTCTCTCCAAGGCATTGCAATAAGCACTGGGTCATTCCATGCTTGCTTGAGGATTTTGGCAAATAGCTGTTAATAAGCCTGGAGGACATAAAAACATTTTAATGAGATCATCTACTTGGAAGGGGAAGGTAATCTGTAATATTGTTATTAAAGTGATGCTTTCACGATCCACTATAAAACCAAATCATTAATAAACTAGTTTTCCCTGTAATACCAAAACCCATTGATTTATTATTTGAATTTGGGACATAAGGAAGAAAAATGTCTTTGGTTACAAACAAGCTTTGTGTTTTCAAACCAGAGTGCGTTTCCCTCATTTTCACCATCTGCTTCAGGCATGACAGAGGTGGCTTATTATGCTGCTGTAGCTTAAGGGACACAGGGCAATATTTGTCCTGGCAGCACAGAGTCAACACTCACAGTAAAGATGATGCCTCTATCACACCTGCACATCAGAGAAACTCAAGAACACAAACATCCCAACCCTTGTATCTGCATTTTTGTCTTTAAAACCTCAGCCACTAAGATCTGAACAGCCAGGCATATCTGTTCCCAGACAAAAGACAACCCACACAATCCAGTTCAGTGGCAAGCCCCAGTGGACCAACAAGCACCACAAAGCTGCTCTCTCTGCAAGTATCAGCTCAGGACAGACTAAACAAATGGAGTATGTGGGAGTTGGGAATGATAACCTCTAGCCTTACCCGCGCTTCCTACTCTTGCAGTAGTTTTGAGGGAAGAAAACAGAGGAGGAGGAATGCAATACTGTTTGATGAGGAAGACGAAAATGACCACTGCTGTATCTATCTCAACACCTTCCAGCAACCTCAGTCGGATACAAAGCCAGACCCACAGCAACATGCAGGAGTGCCACAGCCTGTGCCTTCTCACCCTTGCATCAGTCCCTGGAGAAACTGTAGTGTTACTGCACCAGACCCCAAAGCTCCAGCACTGCCCATGCTCAACCCAAGGCTGGCTGACACAAGCCTCAAGCTGTCACACACAGACTCATGAGGTGGCCTCTGCCAGGCTGCCACCAGCAGGTACACCCCAGAGAAGAGGGCTGGGGGGCACACCAGGCTGCCGAGCTGGGAGGACCAGCCCTGCCACTCCAGTAACAAACCAAAGCTCCACTGCAGACACAAAAACTGGTGCTGCTTCATGCAATCTTTTTGACACCAACAGTAACTTTCACCACTGGTAAAAGAGGCATGAAGGCTTGCTCAATGTTTTGAAGAGGCTTCCTTTTGAAAGGACTCTTGTTGAAAGCCAAAGAAAATACACAAAAAAAGAGAAGGAAAAACCAGAAGACAAGCAAAGGTCAGTTAATCAGACACTAGAAAGAGGAATGGGCACTCTGCATCATCTTCCTTTTTAAGGAAGAGACTATAAATTGTTTCAATACCCTTTACCTGGAAAATGAATGTTAAAAATATTAACATCTAAAAATTACACAGAGCTTACTAGCAGCAAGTTATATAACAATAAAAAAATTACTTAAACCACCATTAAAATCTGCTGATTCTATCCAGGAAATTGTTAAGACGGTCCCAAGCAGCTCCCAAAACTAGGATCAACTGGTACAGCCGCAAACTAATTAAGCAGTACAAAATCCTGTTTCTCTCAAATGAACTATCAGTTTAGTACTCTTGGCCATCATAGGTTTGTTAGGAAAGTTAACGAACAAATCAAAACCTTTTGTTATTTCAGCAGGAGCAAAGGCATTCTTCACACCTGAGGAGTAACTTCTTAACAACAGGGAGCTCCAGCACATGAACAGAAAAATGCAGAAAAGTCAAAACTCTCATTAAATCTAATAAAGCATATCATGGAGCGTGTTACATGTTTAAGAACTTTCTTTGAATATTGTAATCACTGAAATACCAGCTCTTGACAGGACTGAATTGTTCAATATTATAACTTCATTTTGTGTTTCAGTGATATGCTTTGCTTCTGAAATCCAAGGACTCCAGGTAAACAACACTTACATACCTAAGTTTGTTGTTGGGTTTGAAAGTGAGTTAATGAATTAATATTTCAGAAATATTAATTTCTGGAAATAGCTAGAAAATAGCATCTAGTCACAGAAAACACAAAAGTATTTTAGACATCATACAGACCAGTGCCACACTTGTTCTTCGGTTATATCAATAACATTCAACATAAAAGTCTTCAATTGAACTTAGAAACTACACAACAGTCTTCTTCCTTATGTAAAAAAGTTATCTTTTACATACTATTGTTTTTGTTAGAGTCAGCGTAGAAAAACTTTAGAACTTGTGCAAGCCGTACATTATTTTACCCTACCACACATATAAGAAGCAGCATGGAAAAAAGAATTGCAAGGTAAAGGGTTTATACCTGCATGTAGAGACTCAGACCCTTGAGGGGAACGCAGATTTGTAAAATCCCACTACTGAAAAAGTATTCAGTGGTATTTGTTTGCAAACAAAAAGATCTGCGCAAATTGTGGGTCTAATAATGGAAAAAGTATAGACAGAAGAGGTAGGAAGCTCAAGCCACTACTGTAATACGAATAATTAAACTGCTGCAGAAATTCGAAACATACATTGTTCAACAGTGCTTATTTACAGGGTTGTTATTTAAAGGTCACTGACCCTTAAAATTAAGTGTATTTCACAAACCAATCTGTTTTTACAGGTCTTAATCCTACAAACACTGCTATCCTTGCCAACAGACTGCCGTACTAAGAACACACAATCTTTTATATATCAAGACTAACTTTATACTGTTTTTTCCGTTTAACTATAATAAGAGCATTGCTCACTTGATGACATTGTTAGCTTCAGCAAATTAGATGTGTGCTTGGTTAAAACATAGCCTTAATTCCTAAACCTAACATGTGGCTAAAAAAAGTTCCTAATGAACAAACATGGTGATGCAGAGCTGTTAAGAAAAATCTTAGAAGGTTTTGAAAACAAATAATATGACAACATCTTTCATGCTGTTTAATTTAGCTAAGAATTATGTAATTTTCTTCAGCATCAAATATTTCCCATGTTTCTGCATCTTACAAAAACAAGAAACCACGGGACTGTAAGAACAGCTCAATTAGTATGTTTTACAGAGACTTTGTTATCAAGAACATTAGTAACTAGAAGATCTCCAAATCATGAGCATTATCAATTTCAATAATATCTTCAGGTTCCATCTTTGCTTCATGATGCCCCTCCTGTAGATCATCCAGGGAAGCCAGAGCCTCATTTGTATCACTAGCGAAAGTCTCACGAGACGCATCATCATACTCTTGCAGGTTAAGCCCTTTAATGGCTTTTTTCATCTTCTTTCCTAGAACTTGAATTCTCCTCTTCTTAGCAGCTTTTTTGTTTTCATACTCCTTTTGGTTTTCCAGATAGAATATTTCCTTGAAAGAAAACAACAATAAAAACCAAAAGTTCGGCATATTCATTTACTAGTGTTTCCTAAAGACAACATAAAAGTTAAAAAAAAAATATTACAAATACTGTTCAATAATATTTAACTAATATACACATTATTGATAGGAAAAGTATGAAGAGATACTGCACTTAAGAAAAATGCTCTGTAGATAATTTTATTACATAATTTCTTAGCAATCTCAAAGTATATATAAATAAGTATCACTAAGTTTTCATTTCAACTTTGCTTTAGGATTAAGTGGTAGACCAGAGGGTCATTCTACCACACAGAGGGACCTGTAGAGAAACTGCAACCAAAGGTTCTCTAACAGCTTCAGAAAACTTTCCTCTCTAATTGTCATTTGAGTCTAGTCCCGTCATCTTTACTGTCAAACACTTGTGAACCCCAAAAACATCTAAACTGCAAAAGATCACTGTTGCAATTTCTGTCCGTATTTCAAGGGGGA